CACTTTCATGTTATTATTCTTTTAGTGATTTATTTTTCTAATTTGGCACTCTCACTGCTCTATAAAAACCCGCAAAATAAAATAGTAAAAACTACAGACGTCTTTTGCGGCGGACTTTAAAACGTGCGCTAACATTTGCTCCTGGTAGCTCTCCCCCTGATGGGAATCTCTACCACACTGAAAGTCATGCGTCTTCCTTCAACATGATGTGAAAAAAGGTAGAAAGTCCAAATAAAAGACCAACAGAGACACAAAATACAAAGAAAAACAAAGAACAAAACAGCATCATATAAATAAAATGCAATCACCACAGTAAGACTTAAACAAAAAGAAAAGGCTCAGAAAGAGTTAAAGAGCAGATCTTACAGACAGCAGCTTAAACCAGAATAATTTGAATATTTCATCCGTCGAGAATTCCTCTCCACAAAGATCCTAACAGGGACACCTCAGTTTGTGGGAAGCCATGTATGTGGGTTAGCGTTGGGTTGGTTCACTGTGACCACATGTTGTAAATGTTCCTTCTTGGCTCAGAGGAAACACTGAAACCAGACAAACAACCCACAAAGTTCCTCGTACAGAGTGTCTGAACGTCCTGAGAACAGCTCCTCGTGTCCCCAGATGGAATGGGATTGGTTTGAGGGTAGATATAGAGCGTATATTTAATAATTAATAAGAATATTAATCAATGTCTTTTACAGCTGTCCGTTTTGGGGCGTCACAGTGCTTTTGGTGGAGAATGCGGGCATTTCCGCACCACAGAGTCCAGACCTCAGGTTTATGTTGTTGTAACATCTGATCTTGTTTTGTTTGGTTTTACTTTGCAATTATAAAAGTACAGTAAAGAATCATCTATATAGGCTCTGTGCTGTACTGTAGTCTCATGGAAAGCACATGTATTCGTCTCATTTGTCAACGCACTGCTTTTTCTAACGCACACCTTTGTGTATGGATATTTCTTTATGTTCAGGTTGTGTTGCTCTCCTCGATTTAAATAACATTGTTGGACCATAGTGCTCACAATTTTCTTACATTAGCTCGCCGTAATGTCTGTGATCGGTCTGCAAGTTCAAACTGTCCAAAAAAATGGAAAAAAAATTGGAAGACAAACCAAAAATGTTTCACTTTAGTTTGATTAAGACCATCTGTTTTGGTCCGTTGTTCGGTCCAGAGAAAGTTTCACAAGTCCAAAAGTCTGGATCAGACAAGGTCACCCAGCGTGTCTGA